TTATATTCACACAGTGTTGCTAAATGGCAATATGATAATGATAATGGTAACTGATAATTTTTTTTTTCATATTTTATTGTGTTTGTTTTAATATAGAAGAAACGTTCTAAATTTGTTGTATGTTGAAATAATGGAAAATAATAATGTATTTGTTTTTTAGATGGATATAGTATGGCAAATGAGCGTAATTGTAAAAATTCATTAATACGAAATTGAAATTCTGCTGGAAATGAGCAGTGATTACGTAAATTTACATATAAAATTCGTGATGAACATAATGAAATTAAAGTACTACATAAATAATTTGTATCACATGTTTTAATTGTAACTACATCAATACCAACTAATAGATTGTTATCATTTAATATTGAATTTAAACGTTTATTTAAATTATAGAATGCAGGATACAAATCAACTGGTATTGATGACATGTATAAAAATATTTCCATAAATAATTCATCGGAAAAAATATAATCGAGAGGTATTTGTTGTTTTTGCTAGTGTTGAGAATTACTGGTAGTTTGGATAATAAGATTGAAGTTATCTCCACTCATTCTTATATCTGAAAATGTATAGAAAACAAAACCTAATCGAAGGATTATGGAATTATTACAAGCCAGATCAGTTCCTTAAATAATTGCAAAAGCAGCACACGGTTTGTCCACGTAACGCGACACTTCGCTGATCAAATTCAACATTCGATAGACAAATAAAACTGAACAAACATGAGCGGTTCAGAAATAAAATGTAAATTTAAAAAAAGTGGAAATGAAATGAAATTAAAAATTGAGTTTCTGCAGATACCCCAGAAAACTTTGAGCACGTAGTATGCAAATCTCATAAAGCCCCCATGTTTGTTCAGTTTTATTTGTCTATCGAATGTTGTTTTTCGGAAGTGTATATCGCTTACCTCAGTTCTGATATCTCAATTTTAAAAAAGGTTAAATTTTCCAAATTTCAAATTAAATTTAAAAGTTCAAGTTCGGGTCTGGAGACTTGATTCTTTTTCCTACATCCAAATATTTTCGAGAACAATTTCCGCTTGAAAAAAGAAAAAGCACAGCGAAAAACTCTTATAAACCACACAGCAACCCAATCTGATCAGAGGTTGAGGGTTTACATTTGCCATCTACCGACGGAACATTACGACCTCATGGATATAGGAGCACACGGTAACCTTGTTCCTCACTCTCTTCATCAATATCCTGCTACTTTCTATCTGCAGGACAGTCAGTTCACATTTGTAATTGAACGAAACTGACGGAGTGGGTTGCCCTTTTGTTTATAAGTTTTTCACTGTGCAAAGAAGACAAGTTACTTAAATCGAAAGTGCCCGTGTCTGTTATGTTTCTTACCTGTTCTTACTATTTGTCATTTCCTCAAATAGTGGAGTACCCGATAATTATCGGTTATAGAAGGTTTTGTAGAGTAACGTTTCAGCTAGAATGATTTCTTCAAAATGTACCCTAAGCTCTGAAAACAAAAGAATGTCAGAGATGCTCCACCATATACTATCTCGTAACTCAAAAGCTGCTTAACATTGAGTTATGTGATCAGACACGCTATACTAGAATTGAAAATATCCGGGTCGACGAACGAAACCGGTTCAACAGACGACGGTCATCGTGAGAAAAATCAACAATAGAATGCATGATAGGGATGTGAACCTATAAACCAGCCGATTCTTCGAAACATGGTAAACACGAAAGCTGATTAACTGTTTCATGCAAACAGAATCGAATGACTAGAATAAGAAATAGCAGAGACATCTATTCAATTGTCGATTCGTCTAAGGCAGCAGAGTTCCAAGCTCTATATCACAATCAGGATATGGGACCACACCGGCATAACTCAATAATTGATTGACACTGAGTTATGTGATCAGAAACCCTAAACTAGGATAAGAATATTATACTCAAACACAAAAAAGAATCGGATAACAGGAGGACCTTTGTATAGTGAAATTAGTGGGTAAAACTCGATTTATCTAATCTATAATTTATTAGATTAGACTAATATTTAATTTATCTATCTAAGTGAACAGCGTCTTCGAAGCCACATTATGATAACATCGTTCCTCTTCAGAGTGATTCATTTAGCCTAGTGCCCATTATATTGACGTTTTACCATACAACATTTTATGCAAAAGAAGATGAACACACTACTTATTGCATATATCGGAAAGAAAAAAGTGCTAAGTGTGTCTTTAAACTAGTGGATATGATGACATCGTTGCTATACCACATTGATTTTTCTTATTACGTGACATCCAGATATAACCATCATTTCCCCATGATTCACCCCATGAATTTTTAACGATATAATAG